TTTTTTTTTTTAAAGATATATGCTGAAATAGTTTGCAAATTATATTTTTTGCTAATCTTTAACATCTATGTGTGGTAGAACAATTGGAGCCATGCCACTGCGATTGATATGGTGTTTTCTTCATCTTTCTTCTTCCCATTGACGTAGCACTCTTTGCTGGGTTGTGTACCAATAATTCATGTATATTGCTTTCAGTTTTTCGATGAAACTCAGTTTTATTGCGTTGCTGTTTTGATACCGACATTCCAATTGAACTGTCTTAACGATACGGTTATTGTTATGTGGGAAAATGATTAAAGCGATACTTGTATTCAATAATCATGGAAAACCTCGTTTGCTCAAGTTCTATCATCACTATGTAAGTTTTGAACCAATTCCATGAAAAAAATATATCTGAGTTGTCACAAATTTGCGAAAAGCCGTAAACAATCATGAAAAAACTTTTGGAACTTGTGTAGTTGGGCGCGTATACGATATACCACCGGTAAAATTTCAAGAAAGTAAATTTTCTCTCCTAGAAAACACTCGTTTTTTTGTTTTTTTTTTTTTTGAAACATATTTTGGAAACGAATTATAAAAAATTTCTAAAGAGAAAACTTAAGATATATAAGATATAGGCCGTCATTGACGAGAATATCATGTTTATTTACCAGATTTAAAAGTACCAAATTTTAATCTGTGAACCTGCAGAAGTTTTGCTATCTTTGAAGACCCACATACTTTTTTCTCAAGTCATCAATTTTTGTAGATTTTCGTCTTTTTACTCTTAGTTACTTTATTTATTGGTTAATGAAGGTGATATCGCCAATCTCTGATGTTCACTGAAGTCTTTTTTTTCCAGCCAGAAAGTGAACAGCAGCACATAGTCCGAGAAACATTTCAGTTGGTGTCGAAACGAGATGACAATGTTTGCAATTTCTTGGAAGGCGGTTCTTTAATTGGTGGTTCTGATTATAAGCTTATTTATCGCCACTATGCTACCCTCTACTTCGTCTTTTGCGTTGATTCTTCTGAAAGTGAATTGGGGATTTTAGATTTAATTCAAGTAAATAACTACTAAAAGGCTTCTGTTCTTTTTAGTCACGTTCATTTTTACATCTATTTAGCTGTTTTTGCGCTAAGCGTATTTAATTTATGTTTTTTAGGTGTTTGTTGAAACCCTGGATCGCTGTTTTGAGAATGTTTGTGAATTAGACCTTATATTTCACGTTGATAAGGTAGGTCACATCATTTCAGTTTTTAATGCTCGTTACTTTTTAACACAATGATTGTTCACAGAGTTAGTAAGAGAGCAGTAATCTTTTGAGACTCACGACGGAGCTCTGAAATCGTTTGAATAATTTTTTTTTGAACAAGTTATCTAACATTGAAAATTTGCATTTTTAATTACAATAAAAGATTTTGCAAAATAATTATTTGATTCGGGGAGGGAACAGAACTATGTTATATTTTCGATTCTGAAAGCTTCTCAAAGAGTGGACTACAGATAGTTTTCAAAAGCCAAAATAGACTGCTGAGTTAAGAGTTAAGCTGCCAGCACCCATCTCCAGGGCGCAGTTGTTTTTATGTCATCGGCATGCTTGACTGAATCGAATAGTCGTGTTATTACTATAGTGGCTTGGTCTTCAGGGAATATGTAAGAGCAAGTATTTATTAAAAAGAGGAGCATTAAGATATTTTAAAAAGGTCACACAGAGTTACAGTTCAGAAAGATGTGTGAAGTAATAGCTCCTTCATATTTTTAATTTTCAACTTGTAGTACAAATTTAACTTGAATGTCATTTTTTACTTGTTTTTTCTACATAAGTAACTTCCTTCGTATTTAGGTTCACCATATCCTTAATGAATTGGTAATGGGTGGTATGGTTTTGGAAACGAACATGAGTGAGGTGTTGACGCGGGTGCAAGAACAATCAAAGCTTGAGAAACAAGAGGTAAGTTGTTGTGAATTCCTAGTCAAATATTATTTTTTTTCAAATTACCGGATATTTAAACCTTAAATTTTCTAGGCTGGACTTGCGGCTGCTCCAGCGCGGGCTGTAAATGCTGTAAAAAATATCAATATTCCGCAACATATCAAGGAATTTAAACTTGGTGATATTAACATACCTAATTTTAAAAATCCTTTCTGAGGAATAAAATACATTTCACTGCCGTATCTTTTTGCAGATTGTGTACTTCTCGTATCCCTTATCGTCAGTCAAAATTTTTCTTGTACGTTTGATGATGATAAGGAACTGTTTGTTTATATGTGCTTTTAATTTATTATTTTTTTGTGTGTAAGGGCTGTTAAGCTTTTCTGGTTTTTTTACCATTTGATTTTGGTTTGGTGAACTCTCATGAAACTGTTCCGTTCCAGTGGTGGCCCTCATTTTTTGCTGCTTTTTTTGTGGCATAGATTTTGTACTTCTGCAGTGTCAGAAGTGACAGTTTTTCTGCTTTTTTTCCTTACATATCTGTTATCCCGATTGAATATTGATGTAGTTGCCGTTTTCTTTCTTTTCGTGTTCGTATGCTCAGACGAGGTAAACTGAATGAAAATCTTTATGAGGAATATTGAAATTATTAAAAGTCAGTTTAGTTGATAAGTATCTGTTTTTGTTTACAATGCCTATTTTTAAATGACAGGGGACATCTGCATCTGCTTAATAGTTTTTGCAGCTGTGTTGTAGTGATTTTTGCGGGGACAGTTGCAACATTTCAAAGATAGCAGTCTGAAATAAGCAGTGTGTTTCTGAAATTAGTCAGGGTGTTTCCGTGACATTAGATGACTGTTTGTTCAAATGTGGTTGCGTTAATAGCCATTTATGCTTCCTAGAGGGGTTTGGATTTTTGAACAAAACGGAGGACATACTGTTGAAAGCTATGGTGTTAAGGGTTGCAAGTGTACTTTTTTTTTTTTTTTTTTTTTTCTGTTGTTAAGAGCTGTATTCATTTTGAGATGAGGTTAGACGTCAGTACGCTTTTCGAGAAGGATTGAAAAAATTGGGCTTTTGCAAAATCGTATTGTCAGTCAGAAGCAGTTGAAAGTTTGATGTTACCTCTTAGCGGCAAGCTGTTAAACAATAGCGCTCATCCTTGTTTCTCCTAACAATGAAAACAATAACGATAGAAGATTAATATTTGATTGTTATAAATGTAAAATATGGTAGTTTTAAGAACGACTTGAGTCAGGAACTTCAGATGGTACACATAAGTTTTTTCTCTTGGACACTTTGAGGAGTCAATTTTGTTTTTTTTTTTTGAAACTACCACTGTAAAAGACATGCTGATCAGTCTATGGGAAACTGTTTGTAGGTGCCCCAAAAAAACAAAAGAAATAGCGAACAATTGAAAAAGTCGAAACTGTTTAAGAAGCGTCAGTTACAGTTAGTTTTTACTTAGGACTTAAGCTATTTTAAACTAATTGAAACATTACCAAAAGTAAATTACTTTTTTCCTGTTTTTGATTTGGAATTAATTTTACTGGTTTTCAAATGAGTTCCAGAACTGTAGAATATAATTCATTTCTACACCAGCAGTTCATTCATTCTACTGATATAGTTTATAAATGAAGTATCTATAGTACCTAAAAATAATAATTTGATCTCAAACAAAAAAAAATGAATAAATCAAAAATTTTTTTTTCTCCTCTTTGAATAAACATATTTTGCTTTTTCTTTTTTTAAATGGTTGGACAAAAATATTCTGCTATAACACAATACACTTAGTTTTGTTTTCAGTTGCAAAAATGCAACTTCATGTCAGTTTTATTTCTTTTAACAAAACTTTTTTATAGTACATTGGCAGTTTATTTGCCACAGAACAACAAATATTCAAATTTGTCGTTTTGTATTTTTTCATACAGATTAAATTGAAGAAAAACAAAAAGTTTTTTGCAGAAGTATGTAACCTGCAAAAAAA